CTGCTGCTGTGGATGGACCCGCCCCCAGACTGCTGCTGAGGATGGACCCGCCCCCAGACTGCTGCCGTTTGAACTTGGCCCCCTACCTGGTCCTGGGCGCTCAGCAACTTGGACTCCAGTTCCCGTTTTTCACGGAGGATCTTCTGTTTCTCCTCGTACTCCTCCTCCAACTGTACCTCCATCTGCTTCACCTGCAAGTGGGATGGGGGGGGGTGTATGCACAGTTTGGGGGGGCGTGTGAGGTTGATGTGTGTATCAGCCATCATAAAATGTCACCTGACTCCCCCCCCCTTGCCTTGCCCACCTTCTTGCTGCACGTCTGCCTGATCTCCTCCACTTCTTCTTCTCGGCTCTCCACCTCCTTTGCGTGGGTCTGCCGCAGCCGCTCCATTTGCATTTCCAGCCTCAGCTTGGCCTGCAGGGGGCGCAGGAGGATCCCACTCAGGTCTAGTCGCACAAGAAAGACCCCCGCGAGACACCAGCCCCCCATTCACCCTCTCGCCCCACCTGCTCCAGCATCTGGATGGTGCCGGCCTGCTCGTCCAGCTCCTCCTCCTGGTCCTTCACCTTGACCTGCAGGTCACGCAGCTGCTTCTTGACCTTGGCCAGCGAAGCCTCGTCCTTGGACTCCTGGGAGGAGAGGTCTGCAAGCTCTGCCTCCAGCTGCTCCACCTTCAGCCGGGCCGCACATGCCTCGACATCCTTGTCCTGCAGGGGGCAATGGAGAGCTTTGGATCACAACCCCCTAAAGTTACTGCTACTGTCTTAACAGAGGCATAGGCCATGCCCCCTAGGGTTACTGTCACTATCTGAACACCAGCCTAGACCACACCCCCCCACCATCACCACTATTATCTGATTAGTTCCTGAGGCCACGCCCCCCACCATCACCACTACTATCTGAGCACTGTGGTCATGCCCCTCACCATCACCACTACTGTCTGATCAGTTCCTGAGGCCACGCCCCCCACCATCACCACTACTATCTGAGTACTGTGGCCACGCCCCCTAGCGCCCCCTGATACCTGTAGCTGCTGCCTCAGGCTGAACAGCTCCCCTGTCAGGGCATCCTTCTCGCGAGCCAGCTTCTCCCGGAGGGCCCTCTCCCGGTGCGCCTCGTCCAGCGCCTGGCTCTGCTCGGAGTCAAACCTGTGCCGGTAAATGAGCCGTGAGCAGCAGACACGCCACAGCACAGGATCAGGGGTCAGGGCGACGACTCTGCAGCTTCAGGCACCTCCTCTGCTTCTTCTCCAGCTCGTGGTTCCTGCTCTGCTGGTTCTCCAGGTGAAGCCTGGTGTCCTGCAGCTCCGACGTCAGACGCTGCACCTTCTTCTTGAACTGCTGCAGGGAGCGATGGGCCTCGTCGCTGTCCGCCTGCAGCTCTGCCAGCTGCGGAGACGGAGGGGGGGAGGCGGGGGGTGTCAGCTTCAGCGCGGGCATCGTCACGGGCACCTGCGTGCGGGTCCTCACCTTCCGCTCCACGTGCCTCCTGCTCTGCTGCTCCATCTCCAGCTTATCCTCAAACTCCTGCTGGTGCTTCTTCTTGGTGAAGTCGGCCTCCCGCACGGCACGCTCGTACTTCACACGCCATGCCCCCCCTAGCCGGGAGGGAAACGCACCATTACCTGGTCGACAGCTCCCCGTTTCTCTAACTCGAACGTGATACAAAACAGCACAGCTGGCAGTATTGTGGTAAAAATGGAGAATGACGTCCAAAGCAATCTTCCATCTCCGCGCGTGTGTGTTTGGACACTCATTTGCATATAAACAGCCTGCGGACTCACCGGCGTCGTCGTCATCATCCAGGTCCCCATTGAGCTCCACCGCGCGCGATAGCCGCGCCTCCATCACCTCCACCTCCATGGACTCCACCTGCTTCCTCACGCCGTCATACTTCACCTGCGACGCCACATACGGACCAGCAGGGGGCGTTAGGTCGGGTCACACCCACCCACCATCCTCACCTCCTCCGTTCCCTAAAAGCAGACCGCAGAGCCGCACCAGCAGGCCCCAGGTGGAGGAGCAGCGCCCTCAGCTGGCCAGCACTGGCGATACGGTCGCCGCCACGCAGCCTCACCTGCAGCTCCCTCAGGTCCCGGTCCAGGCGCAGCCTCTCGGCAGCCTCCGTCTCCAGCATCTGGGAGGCGGACTCCCCCGTGCTTCTCTCGTCTGCCAGCTCCGCCGACAGCTCCGTCACCTGCACGCCAGATAAGCGGGTTTGGCGCCGCCCACTTCAAATACTGCACGTGGACTGGGAGATTCAGAGGGGTGAGGGATCCAGCCCGGGCCAGCAGACATGGCCGGGCCGAACTGATATAAACCCGAAGCGGGCTTCAGGAGCACTGAAGGCTGACTGTAGGTGTGATTCCTCATGCTTCATGACCACTGCCTGTACACCCACGAGACGGTTTCACTTGAGGGTTATTTGCGGTGCGTCGTGGTCCCAGTGGGAAGCTCACCCTGCTCTCCAGACGCTCGCTGTTCAGCCTCAGCTCATTCCGCTCCTTCTCTGCTTTCTCCAGCTTCATCTTCAGCTGCTGGATCTCCTCCTTAGAGCAGACACACACACACAGTAAGTCTGCGGCCCTCAGCTTGGAGTGTCTGTCTGTTTCGCCATGAAGGTCGACACTCACATCCCGGCCGCGGATCTGCTCCTCGGTGAGCTGCACCTCCACCAGAGGCCGGACGTTGGTGAAGAGCTTCCACCAAGGCCAGCCCTTCACGCCTCGGTTCTTCTTGATGTTCTTCTGGATGCAGCGGATAGCCAGATCCTGGACCTGAAGGGGAGCCACATCTGAATATCAGCCTCACTTACAACAGAGAGATATACTGAAGCTTCAGCCGCAGCATGGGAGTGAGTTTAATCCTGAACCTCAGGAAGGTGTAGGGGGGGGGCGCACGGTACAGAATCTACAAGTGTTCACAGGTGTCCGCAGGAGTTGACAAGGGTTCACAGCTGGCTGCAGGTGGCTACAGAGGTTTACAGGTATGTGCAGGTATTTTCAGGGGTTTACAGCTGTTTGCCGGTGTTCATAGGGGTTCACACATGTTTGCAGGTGTTTACAGGGGTCCACAGGTGTCTGCAGGAGTTTACAAGGGTTCACAGCTGGCTGCAGGAGGCTACAGAGGTTTACAGGTACGTGCAGGTATTTTCAGGGGTTTACAGCTGTTTGCCGGTGTTCATAGGGGTTCACACATGTCTTACAAGGGTTCACAGCCAGCTGCACGTGGCTACAGAGGTTTACAGGTATGTACAGGTGTTTACAGGGGTCCACAGGTGTCTGCAGGAGTTTACAAGGGTTCACAGCCGGCTGCACGTGGCTACAGAGGTTTACAGGTATGTACAGGTGTTTACAGGGCTTCACAGGTGTCTGCAGGTGTGTACATGAGTTCACAGGAAGTGTCTACGGGTGTTTACAGGTATTCACAGATGCCTGCAGGTGTTTACAGGCTACATCCTTATGATAAGCACATAGTCTCAATCAGTCAGTCACTATTGGTAACACCCCCACAGCTGTATTACACTGGTGAGTGATGGAGACTGACGCCACCTGCTTTTGGGGGACCATCTGAGGATCCTGCATTTCTTCCCAACACTTTCATTTAACACAGATTGCACAAGTTACACGGGACCAGGGTTGGAGCCATTCTGGAATGCATTTATCAACTCCAGTCCAAATCAGGATATGGAACTGGAGTTGGAATTGGAAAAAAAATCATGGGGAACAGAATTGGAATTGAATTTGAATTTCAGAGGGATTTAAATTCTTACTCTGGTTCCATTTCCTGATTTGGATTGGAATTGACGAATGCGGAATGGCCCCAACCCTGCATGGGACTACACACTTATACGGTGGATACACTGCATTAAGTGGGAAAACATTTCGATGTTCAGCACCCAGGCTCTGGGCAGGTTGTGCCCACAGAAAGCTCTCCACCAGCAAGCGGAGAGACGAGGGCCTAAAAAGATGCTTCAGCGTCTTTCAGCGATGCTATTCTCTGCCCAAATCAACAGCACAGTGCAGCTGTTGAACCGCATTATTAAACTTCTAGAAGAAGAATCACAGGTGGGGAAAAACGTGTAACGAGTAACACGGAGGCTTCGGTCCAGCGTGGAACTGGCACCTGAAAGCCTGCCGTAGCAGCAGATCAATAAGGACAAGCCCTTTCGAAAACAGTTTCTGCGAGAAAAAAAAGGGATGAAGAATAAAACAGCAGTGTGGTAGGAGAATAGGGGGGAGGTCAGGGCACACAGCCGTCATGATCGACGGGGCGAGACCACAAGGACCTGCCATCTAATGCAGGGTTGTCAGGGTGGGTCAGCTCTCATACACCCTCTGCTGCCACATCTGAGCTATTTACATTACATTAGCATTTATTTATTTAGCTCACACTTCTGGAAAGAAAACTTCGAAGGCCTAACTGTGAAATGATTAATCTGCCAGCCGTGGGTTTTAAACTCACCACCTCCTGGATCTACACGGCGCCCCAATTTAATAGACAAGCCTGACACAGAGTGACTGACCAACCAGTTCATTTTCAGCGCTTCAGATCGTTCCCGAAGCTTCGAACCCGCTCCCCTGCGCAGGCCGCAGCCTCCTCACCTTCCTCTTCTTGAAGGCCTGCCTGGCCAGGTAGCCGCGGCAGGCGGCCTGCAGCAGCGAGATGTTGTGCCTGGTCTGCTCATCTCGCTGCTCCTCCAGCTTGGCCAAGGTTCCCGCCCTGAACAGCACCTGCAACGGACAGCAGTTTGAACAGTGTAAACCCGCCCCATTACAGAGAATCGGGGGAAGTGCTGAAGGGTCAAAGGTCAGAAGGTGACATGGTCACAAGTTCACAGGTTAACAAGGATGCATCTCAATACCAACAACACAAAGATCATACTTGTAATCTTGATAAGACCGGACTTGTTAACACAAGAACAAACTTGGGCCTCAATGAATCATGGGACTGGTCTATTTGGCGAGGATGCAACTGATGTATCCTTGATATTTGGGGAGGAGCAAGACCAACATCTGGGGATTTTTATCATCCTGTTCTTGAGTATAAGGATTTGGTCTTCGGCGATGGTAGATTATATAAAACGGGTACATAGTAGGGTCAAGTGATAGTCAGGGTGAAAGTCACAGTAACAGACCTGAGTAATAATTACTGAATTAAGTTCTGAGCTACTGGGACAGTCAGCAAGTGTAAAGCGTGACAGCTTGGTACCAGCAAGAGGATGGAGAAATTCATCATCTGAACAAGATGGATGAGCATTTGTTCATGATGGACCCAGAACAGAGTGGAACCCTGTGACGAAGTGTGAAGCAACAGTGTCCAGAGGAGAATGGCAGTGTGCGGGTGCCCCAGAACCTGATTCTGAGAGACACTGGGAGTGGGAAGGCTCTGACACCTGTAGGAGGGTTTGGGTACTGCAGCCCTGCGCTTTGGTTAGTGGCAAGTCAGAAGATGGGTACATTAAACCCACCTGTGCTGGGATGGGGATGAAAGAGGGAGGGAGAGAGGGGGGAAGGGAGGGAGGAAGAGAGGAAGGAAGGAAGGGAGGAAGGATGGGAGGAAGAGAGGAAGGAAGGGAGGGAGGAAGAGAGGAAGGAAGGGAGGGAGGAAGAGAGGAAGGATGGGAGGGAGGGATGGAGGAAGGGAAGGAGGAAGAGAGGAAAGAAGGGAGGGAGGAAGGATGGGAGGGAGGGATGGAGGAAGGGAGGGAGTAAGAGAGGAAAGAAGGGAGGAAGGATATGAGGGAGGGATGGAGGAAGGGAGGGAGGAAGAGAGGAAAGAAGGGAGGGAGGAAGGATATGAGGGAGGGATGGAGGAAGGGAGGGAGGAAGAGAGGAAAGAAGGGAGGGAGGAAGGATATGAGGGAGGGATGGAGGAAGGGAGGGAGGGAGAGAGGAAAGAAGGGAGGG